CCGGGGTCGCCGGTGACCGGGAGTAGCCACGACATTCCAAAATGCTTTCCACCCTCTTCCTCCCTCTGCTCGAGTTCCTGCGCCGTATCACGGCTGACCCGGCCATTCCCTATCCTTCATCCGCGCATTTCCATCCCTCTACTGGGCAACCCCCGTCGAGCAGCAGCGGGTACACACCGAATGCAACCATGCGTCATCCGCCATGATCTATGCTTTCTGCCGCGCTGGCATTACGCTCGCCGTGCACACGCGATCGCGCGCGTTACCTATGTGCACGCACGCGTTTACATAAGGACGTACACATCGGCCCTGTCATACAGTCGCGGCCAAAAGTGAGTTGTTACCAGACAATTTCTGTGCGGATCTATGGGGAAACGGGGATCTGGGGATACAGAGGCCGGAGAAAGCTAGGGAGAGATCGTAGAATCTAGGAAAATAGGGAAGTGAAGAGGGTGGACCTTGCAAAATAGAGAAAGAGAAATATAACTGGAGAAAGGAGAACTAGAAAGCTGGAATGTTGCAAACTGGGAAATGAAAGATATTGGAAAATACAGAATTCGGGAAAGTGGAATTTAAAGAGATAGGAAACTGGAATGAGGCAATTTAGGGAAACAGAAATTTAAGGAAGTAGAGATCTAGGATAATAAACTGATCAAAGATCTAGGTCTAGAATGGAAATAGGTCTAGGGAAATAGAAATCTTCGAAAATAAAAATCTGATGGAATGGTGAAATAATAAAATGAAGAAATAGTGTCTAGTAAAATAGGAACATAGAAATCCAGGGAAATATTGAACAGGAGAAATGGAAGATAGGGAAAAAGAGATCTAGAGAAGCAGGGATAAAAAGTAGGTATCTACGTTGTATTTATATTATATAATACATATACTATTACATATGAACTTTAAATTTAAAAGTACAGTATGCATGCAGTATCATACGTGTAACACACTTGTAACATACTACTACATTTTCATCTCTGCAATTTGTGTAAAATAATATAATATAAATATAAATAAAATTTTACAAGTTAAAAGTTTTTTGTAAAATTTTTGTATAAAAATTGATAAAAAAATCGTTATGAAATTTATAAAAGTTTTGTTGAAATTTATAAATTTTATCTCTGCTCTACTACCATAGTTATCACATTTTAAAAATATAAATACGTAACTGAATAACTGCATATATATAAAGTTAAAATTTAAAAATATTTCAAAAAGTATGCCACGTTCTGAAAATAATTTATTTAAATTTTGTAATACTGCATGAATGCTACAGATACAAGTACTATTGTTGCAAAAGCGATTTATACCCCCATTACTCTTACAAGTTAGACATCTTTTATATACCTATAAGGTTTATATATGTTTGTATATGATACTTCGTGTGATACTTCAAAAACCACTTGATGAATGTAGCAGTTACGTTAATGTCCATTCGCGTTCGGGGTAGTAAATATCCATAGCGTGTTTCACCTCGATCGCCTCGATTAACTAGTATAAACAGTACACCATATAGAAATTGTAATGTGTAAAATTGAAGTCACTCTAGAAAAGGAAAAACTGTGGTTAATTACCTCATCTTTCCCCTATGATAAGCGACGCAACAGCCGTAAGATATAGACTGAGGAATTTTTGTCGGCGACTGTATATGAATCCAGTGATTATACACGCATCGACAGAGATATATTGCATTCGTGTGCGTACTTTCATCTTTCTCTGTCTCTGTTGCTGACTGGACTCGCGTCTCTATTAAAGCTACGCTCATTTTCAGCAGTCTGCATATTGTGTCCGCGCACAACCCCTACTACTGACAGCACGAATATTCAGTGAGCGGTCCACCACTGAACAGCCATTTCCGCGTTAACCCTTTTGTCTGTTATATCTGATCATTTGAAAAGTTTTAGCGCATGTATCTTTTCGTTATTAGGTCACTTAGAATAAAACTTAATAGGTGTTGAAATGTAGACTTTGAATTTTGGCGCCAAATTTGAATGTTATGCTAGATTCGATTAGTTAGATAAATTTAGATTAGTTGAATTAGGTAAATTAGGTAAGTTAGATTAAGATACTTAGATTAGGTTGGGTTAGTTAGATTAGATAGGTTAGTTATGTTTATTGTGTTAGGCTAGTCATGTAAAGTTAGTTAAGCTAAGTTAGTTGAGTTATGTTAGTTGGATTGTGTCAGTTAGGTTATGTTAGTTAGGTTAGCTAAGTCAGTTAGGTTAGTTACGTTCATTATATTTATTATATTAGGTTAGGTTGAGTTTGACTAGATTACACTTGGTTAGATCAAAGTAGGTGGGATTATATTACCTTAGATTATCTGTTTATAACCCAAATTTTCAAATTTTTAACTGATAAAATTTTCATATGCCTAATTCCCCAAAATCTCCAAATTCCTATATTACAAAATTCCCAAATTCTCAAATTCATATATTATTCCATAATCCTCCAATCTCCAGATTCTCGAATTCCCAAATATCCTAAATCCTTGGATTCTCAAAACCCTAAATCCCTAAATTCCTTACTCCCCTAATTATCAAACCTCCAGATTCCCACATCCTTCAAATCCCAAAGTTCCTAAAGTATTCCTAAATTCCAAAATTCCCAAACTCCAAAATCCTAAATTCCTAAATTTTCCAATTTCTCGAACTCCCAATTCTCTCAAATCGCCTGAATGCTCAAAATTGTCAAATTTCCAGATTTCCATAGTGAAAAGTCAGATGTTCCTATTTCAAAAACTCTAGTCTTTATTTACCGAAATGCACAAATACTTAAATCCCCACATCTCTGACTCAGCAAATCCTCCAAATTCCCAAATTTCCATATCGAGAAATCCCCAAACGCCCATATCTCCAAAGTCCCATAATCCTTAAATTCCGACATTCAATACTTAAATCCCCAAATTGCTCTCCCTATCACCAGATACCCAATCGTTCAAACTCCCAAATACTCCAAATGCCCGTGTTCGAAAATTTCAAAATCCTCATATTCCCAAATTTACGTATCTCAGAATTCCAAAATCTTCCACGTTCCCAAAATCCGAGGAAAAAGTTATCAGGTCGATAGGGTTGCCTTTATAAATCCCTACGGGTCATCTCGTGGGACGCGTGCACGATAAGGGTTCGAACGTTCCAAGTGGCTAATTGACACGTATCCGTATTAACAAGCGTGTCGTTGGTCGATCAATCCAGCATCCGTTGGATAGCCAGTGTTTTCGGAGATTAGAGGATCGCGTGGAACGCGACAGGATGCAGAGTTTCTCCTGCATTCGGCGGTATCCGGTATTGCGGTCGGAAGCCGCGGGGCTAGGGGGTTCATCCGGGGGCTTAAACGTACACACTCCACCCCCGGTAGGCGGAGTGTACCGCCTACGAGCGACCCCCACCGCTAGCTACGGCACTGATACGCGATATCAGCCGAACACTTGTTGCTCCTACGTGTGTACAGAGATTCTCGGAGTTGGCCGCGCCAACGAGCGTTGCCCGTGACGCGGTTTTAGTCCACGATTTTTCATCCGCTGATTTTTCCACCTCCTCTTCCTCGTCACTCATCACCAACCCCCTACAGCCCCACCTCCCCGCGTCATCTTCTACCGCTATGAATTTTCGCGCGCCCCTATAACGCCTGTCTGGCGGCGGCAACGATATTCCAGGCTCGAAAACGAGCCCGCCGCGGATTCCATCGCGTGGACCAGTTCCGAGTCGGAGAAATGCAGCCGCGCCGTTGTAAATCCTCGCTTCCGCTGTTTCTCGAATTCTTCGACACGAGGCTGAAACGTCTTCATTGATTGTTACGTTCTTCCTTTCTGAGCGATCATATACGGAGGACAGGTGATTTATGCTAACCGAGGATCTCTTTGATTGTTGCAGGCAGTGCATCGAGAAATCCCCAAACGCCCATATCTCCAAAGTCCCATAATCCTTAAATTCCGACATTCAATACTTAAATCCCCAAATTGCTCTCCCTATCACCAGATACCCAATCGTTCAAACTCCCAAATACTCCAAATGCCCGTGTTCGAAAATTTCAAAATCCTCATATTCCCAAATTTACGTATCTCAGAATTCCAAAATCTTCCACGTTCCCAAAATCCGAGGAAAAAGTTATCAGGTCGATAGGGTTGCCTTTATAAATCCCTACGGGTCATCTCGTGGGACGCGTGCACGATAAGGGTTCGAACGTTCCAAGTGGCTAATTGACACGTATCCGTATTAACAAGCGTGTCGTTGGTCGATCAATCCAGCATCCGTTGGATAGCCAGTGTTTTCGGAGATTAGAGGATCGCGTGGAACGCGACAGGATGCAGAGTTTCTCCTGCATTCGGCGGTATCCGGTATTGCGGTCGGAAGCCGCGGGGCTAGGGGGTTCATCCGGGGGCTTAAACGTACACACTCCACCCCCGGTAGGCGGAGTGTACCGCCTACGAGCGACCCCCACCGCTAGCTACGGCACTGATACGCGATATCAGCCGAACACTTGTTGCTCCTACGTGTGTACAGAGATTCTCGGAGTTGGCCGCGCCAACGAGCGTTGCCCGTGACGCGGTTTTAGTCCACGATTTTTCATCCGCTGATTTTTCCACCTCCTCTTCCTCGTCACTCATCACCAACCCCCTACAGCCCCACCTCCCCGCGTCATCTTCTACCGCTATGAATTTTCGCGCGCCCCTATAACGCCTGTCTGGCGGCGGCAACGATATTCCAGGCTCGAAAACGAGCCCGCCGCGGATTCCATCGCGTGGACCAGTTCCGAGTCGGAGAAATGCAGCCGCGCCGTTGTAAATCCTCGCTTCCGCTGTTTCTCGAATTCTTCGACACGAGGCTGAAACGTCTTCATTGATTGTTACGTTCTTCCTTTCTGAGCGATCATATACGGAGGACAGGTGATTTATGCTAACCGAGGATCTCTTTGATTGTTGCAGGCAGTGCGGTGGCTGCAGCCGACACCATTTCCGCGCCGTGGACTCCAGCGAGTTCCGGGCCGCCGCCCGACGCGAACGGCTCCGGCTCGGATACCAAAAACCTCGACGTTGGCGAAATTAGCGATGTAAGTTCATTTCCTTTTTTAATGTAAATTACCCCTTTTTGCGACACCTCAGGATTTCATAGCGAAAACACTTTCAAGTTGGCGGAATCAATAAACATTGCTTCCGACTGCCAGTTTACCAGACGTGCATAGTACTGTGCAAAGCTAGGGAGATTACATGTGGCTCCTCCTATTCCCACATTCGACGCCCTCCCCTCATACGAACGGTTAGTATGATAGTTATGACCTGTTCGACCAATAACCCTATACCACTAACTGTGTACCCTCGTGGTCGCTGTAGTGGCTTCGCCCAATCAGATCCACGTGCATTCTTTATAGCTCTGTATGGTACTCGAGGGACATCGGATGTTAGCATTTATACGAGATGTAATGAAAGCTTGTGAAAAATGAGTGCAAATATGAAAAAGTGACTGCTACTGGACTTGCGCGTTGTAGAGGGTTGCAATTTGGGGTCATCGATTTTAATGCAACTTTTAAAAAATACATTCGATATTTCTTCGTAAATTGACACCATGTAGGGGTTAATATTCAACAGTTTTTTTTTAGTTGTTTTATTTTGTGACAGTATATGTAATTTGTTTTAATTAATTTAAAATAAATTTTTATATCGTTGGTATAATGTGCTTAATTTCTAATATGGCCAAGGTTTTTTTTAAATTATTTTTTTATTCGTTTTTTTATTTGGTTTTTATTTATTTTATATTCATTTATGAGATTATATGAAAAAATAAATTTTGAAGTATGACATAATTGAAAAAAGTGAGTTTTAAAATGATTAGAAATTTTAGAAGAGAAAGTGTTGTACTTTTTTATTGTTTTCTTATTATTACTAGTAATAACTCAGAAATATATTTTTTAGTTTTTAATTTTAATTTCAGACTAATATAAACCCATAATTAAAAATATAACTTTGTGCCGTCAAGTATACCATAAATTTACATTGTCAATTATTAAGTAAAAATTTAGTTGTCATATTTAAAACATTATATAGAAAGGAGTAAAAATTTATGAACCCATCTTATAATTTAAGGTACAGATTTATAATTTAAAGCATTATATTTATAATCTTCTACAAATTTATGTTACAAATTTACATTACAAATTATATAATAAATTATAAATTTAATATTATATATTTTTCCTTCATCAAATTTTGCTAAACACAAAATACTTTGTTATCATTATTTTCTCGGTATTAATAATTAAAAAAAAAATATTTCATTCAAGTACTATAATATAAAATTTGTTAGTATATGAAACATAGCGCATGAAGGAGTTGATAAATAAAATGTTATTCGGTAAAGATTCAAGTTTGTTAACAGGAATTTTTATATCGTCGTAAGAGCTTGAAAAGATCTCGCTGTACGTCTTCATATTTTCCAGGACGAAAAAGACTTATCGGCAGCAGACGCGGAGGGTGTATGGTCACCGGATATCGAGCAGAGCTTCCAGGAAGCTCTCACTATATACCCACCATGTGGTCGACGCAAAATCATCCTGTCCGACGAGGGGAAGATGTACGGTGAGTCGAGTAATTTCCTGACAAATCTTCTTTCTGTGTTTTTAGTCAAAGCAGAGATAAAGGAACTGGAAATAGAAATTATTCGAAAATTGATCTTCAAATAACTCATCACTCTATTTGATCAGTAAATATTTTATGGTATAAATGACACACTATGTACTTCGTTATTAGGTTCACATTTGTATGGAAAATATAAAGTAAATATACTAATGCATAAATGAGTCTCGGTAATTGCTCAACATAGTGAGACTCCCGGGACCACTCGATCTACATTTGTTTGTCTATACCGCGCTGCAAGCCGCAATTTTGGATCTTACTACTTGAAATTTTGAAGGTACACTCGTGAAACACTTTAAATTCACTATATAGATTTTGGCGGCAATCTGACAACGAGAACCTGTCATCGACATCGATCGTGTCGAATCGATCAAAACCGTGATTTGGTATCGTTTTCGATGATTCTTATCACACAGAATCGACGGAAACCACAACGAAAGCTCTGTAACTCATCATCGACGACAGTACTTAATTACCATTGACGTTAGTTGTCGTGAAATTGAGAATAATCGTGTTAGATATCATTTTCTATAGTTTTAGACACGTTTCATTGTTTAGACGACTTTAAAATTCCCACGTCACATTTTTGTTTTGCCTAAATGTTTACAGTAGGTAATTCATTCGAATTCGCGTGAAGCTAGTCTGCGAACCTAATAGTTAACAATTCAGTGGGCATTTTGTTAATAACAGATGTGTTCATTTTGTACAATATTTAGATATTTTAATGTTAGCCTATCGTTATGCTGCCACTTTTATCCGGACACTACGAAGTGTGACACAAAAGTAACGAGACTAGTCCAATAAATCATTGTACCTTCAGAATCAGTTCTCCGTTACATTATCACCTTCAAAGTAGTCCCCTTCAGCATTCACACACTTTTGCATTCGGTGCTGCCATTGCTGGTAACAGTTCTGGAACGAGGTTTTTGGAAATCCTTTTGAGAGATTCTCCGTTTCTGCCTGAACCTCTTCAAGTGAGGTGAAATGGGTTCCCATTAAGCAAAATTTAATTTTAGGAAATAAAACAAAGTCGCATGGAGCCAAATCAGGTGAATAAGGAGGATGCCCCATCACAGTAATATTTTTACTAGTCAGAAACTGCTTGGCAGACAGTGCCGTGTGAGCGGATGCATTGTCCTTGTGCAACAGCCATCCATCGCTTCACAACTGTGGCCTTTTTTTCCTAATTTTTTCACGAAGTCTTTTTAGTATTTCAATGTAATAGTGTTAGTTAACAGTCTGACCACTGGGAAACCACTCAATCATTACAATTCCATTAATGTCGAATTTTTATTTTGACATGAGTGCTTTTTTGGGTTTTGGGGATCCTGGAGACTTCCACTCCATTGACTGGCGCTTACTTTTTGAGTCATAGGTAAAAATACATGTCTCATCACATGTTACAAAAGATTTCAACAAATTTCACAAGAAACTTGATGTTTATTCGCTGTTCGATTTTTATGTTAGACATTTTTCCGGCAAAATGCAGTTGCACGTGTTCACTAAATAACGCAATACTTCCAAATGGTATGACCGATTCAATCGAAATTGGCAACATGGATAGAGGAGGCATGTGGAATGATGCCACAAAAACAATTGCTGCCAATTCCATTGTTTTTTCAAGCTACAGATCTAGTCTCGTTATTTTTGTGTCGCACCTCGTATAATAGCCAGTTATGAGTACCTTTTATGAGTCACCCGTAGATTTGAATCATGAAACCTAAATTAACACTTTGGCTACCACATCATTCATATAGGGGTGACGATTAAATTCCCACATAAATCATCTTTATTAATAAGAATTTATTACCTTACCTATCATAATTAGAAATATTAGTATTAACCACTTGGAACTATGTATAATGAATATAACAAAATATCGTGAACATATTTGGTAATATTTGTTAAAAATTAAAATATTATCGAACACAATTTTCTTCTGTCTCAGTATAGCAGTCAACGTTTTAATAACATAGTCCATGGTAATAATCACTCTGTAAATTTAATTTAATTTATTAAAACGTAATATAATATAACCTAACCTTATAATCAACTTAACTCTAGATATACAGACGTTTAATGCCCACTTATATTTCAATTTAAACTAAATTATAAAACTAAATAAATAATATAAAATGCGTAAATTCTATTTCTTGATGAAGACTAACATACATTTTGACAAATGCTTCTTAATAATTTTCTTAATTGAAAGTAAATCTAAAATCCGCCATTTTTACGAGTAAGTTTAGTGTTAAAGTAAGCAATACAGCACTCCAGAACTACCAAACTTTAACAACATATAATTTTTGAACCTGTAGATTCCAACATTCAAAATCATTATATTTATTGAGTAATATCAGATTATGCGAAAGAAGTTCAAAAGAAATTGATGTCTGAAATTTGACTTAAAAATGTTTCGCTATAACATTGCTCAGTGGACGAAAACGATCGGAATTTTTCAGACATTTAAAAAATGAAACAAATCGAATAAAACTTGCTGTAAAATATGTATAATTATGTCCTTTGAAGTGTCGTTGCGGTTTTTGCGTTATCTACTCTAAAAGCCTTTAAATCTGAAATCGTACTACATCAAACGAAAAATAACAAAACTCTGAAAAATTTGTTAGTAACACTGTAAAAAACTTAACTACAACTTTCAAATTTAAAATCCTAAACTTCTAAAATCTTATGCCAAAATCTTAAATATAAAATCTTAAAATCATTAAACATAACCTACAAAACCACAAAATCTAAACTATAACACCTTAAATTACAGAAAAAATACAGAACCAGTAAAGAGCGCATTTTAAAGTAAGCTGCATTCAATTTGATACATTTTGAATTTTCCACAGAATTTCGATCGCTTCCACCCACTGTGCGTCGGTGGCAATATAACGGGAGTCTACTGTAAATACAATGAAGAGCGGTAAGGAAAGAATGCAGTGCTTCTTATTCAGTATGGGACACGGTTGAAAAGCGGTTTGTGTTCTCTCCGAAGGAGCTTTTTCGTTCTCAAATAATATCCTTGTGAAGGGAAAAAGGTCCCTTCGTGTACCCCGATGGTAGAAATGTCCGGACGGTCGTCGTTATTGCTCGATGCTGAGGTCAGTCTACGTGACCGAGCAGATATTGCCTGGCCACGACCACCGGTACCACCGTAGTCACCACCATTAACCACCATGAGTTCTCTACGCTCCGGCAATAATGCCACGCCTCGAAAGATACCCCATTTACCAGTATCTTTCTTCCAATATACTTCTGCCGTTTTCCTACTATTTCCGCTTTTTTTTATCGCCTCCCCAACTCGTTAACCCCTTTTTCGAGGGTGTCGACGAGGTTGAAGACGCGAGAGCGAGGATTTTTGTATGGGGTGCTACTACACCGTGGGAGAAGTTCTTTTGCTCCATCGATGGTGTTAATATAGTTTGGTTTTGGGAAGTGGGGAACTTTGGGATTTCAGTAATTAAGTATTTTGAGCATTTAGAGGTTCTGAAGTTTGGGAATGGAAAATTTATAATATGTGAATTGGAGATTAAGATACTTAAATATTTTGTAATTTGGATGTTTGAGGATATGGAAATAGAAGATTTTTAATATTTTAAAATTTGTAATTTGGGAATATGGAGATTTGGAAATATAAGCATTGTAGAATTTGAATGTTTGAAGAGTTTAAAATTTAGAATTTTCAATATTTAAAAATTTGAATATTCTGGAATTTGGATGCATGAAGATTTGTAAATTTACAAAATTGAAAATTTATTGTTTGCAAATTTGAATATTTAAAAATATGAACATTTTGAATTTGGAAATTTTGAAGTTTAAAATTTTGAATATTTGAAAACGTTTAATTTTCTGAATTTGAGGACTTGAAAATTTGAATATGTGGATTTAAAGATTTACAAATTTATGATTTGTAACTTCCAAAATGTGGAACCTTTATAACTGAAGAATTTGTAATTTAAGAATTTTTTAAATTTGTAAACGAACTTTAGAAATTTGGAAATTCTGTAACTATGAAACTCAAAAATTCTAATATTGTAAAATTTGGAAATTTAAAATTAAAAATTTTATATAGAGAATTTGAGAAATTTGAAAACTTCATAATGTGAGAATGCGGGAATATACAAGCTCAAAAATGTGCACATTTACAAAATCCGGAAATTTCAAAATATGGAAATAAAAAATTTTAAAATATGAAAAATTTCAAAATTTTGGAATTTGAATATTTAAAAATTTGATAATTTGCAGACTTCAGTACTTAAAAATTTGAAACTGTAGTAATCTGCGCTATTAGTATAAAAATGTGTAATCTTGTAATTGAAAAAATATTTTTGTTGTAACAATAATTTTATTAATATAACTTCATAATTTTTCTAATTTCATTACCTACATCTGTGCTTCACAATAGAAAGAAACAAGCGGGTTTAACGAAGTGTTTGTTAAGTAAAGAAAAAAGAAGTGAAATATGAATCGCAATATAAAGACGAGTAAAGATTGTATTTACGTCTGTTCGTGTGAAAAGAACAATTATAAAATTCGAAGTTTTCATGATTCTTGGACGTTTCACGTTTTTCAGTCGGAGGTAGGCTTGAATCCCTATTCGTTAGGTCACAATGTCGCTTAATTTTCGAAAGCACACGGGAAAAGCTGTCCTGTCTGGGTGGCAATTCAATCTTGACCCATGAAAACGAAGCTTAATTCGAATCTGCCTCGCTGTCGACGAGATCGCGAATGAAAACAATAAGAACGACAATCGACAATACCAGTATCTCTTTTTCAGCTACACTTCTTCATTTTATCGACAACTGAAAAATGTGAAAATTTTTAAGTTTAGATACGGAAAAATTGAAAGATTTGAAGTTGAGTAATTAAAAGAATATAACTATTTGTATATTCGAAAATTAAAATTTTTAACGTACAGAAATTTGCAAATATCAAATTAA